CGGTCTACATCTTCTGCAGTCCCATGCCAACCCACAAATTGTTTTAACGCTAATTTCTCTCCCCTTATCTTCCTTACCTTGTTCCTGAGGAGGTGGCAAGACGGTCTCACCATCGGTGGTCTAATTTGACGTAAACATTAACAGAACGAAAGTGCTCATCGTAGTTACTCACAAGTGTTGTGAGTCATAAATCGGCATCGTAGGAACTTATCCTGCAGGCGGAAGCCTCATAGATATAGACCTCCGTATTAGTGTCCAAAATAAGCACTCTTCTTGTCCGAACCCAAAATTCGACTGTTAAACTCACTGGAATAAAGAGTGACAGCAAAAAATAGTCACCTTCAAATTCTTGCCCAGATGGCATACATAAATTCTCACTTAAACTTCAGCTGCTTTGTTTGGTGAATCAGCTCCCATACTCTCCTACTAGCTGCTGATATCAGGTTTTTTGCCTACTTGACTCATACAAAGGTCCTTCTAGTGTGTGTGTGTGTGTCTCCTACATGGTTCAAAGCTGTGAGTTTCCAAGCAGTTGTCCTCCAGTTTCGTACTCACTTTTCTGCTAAAACCTCGTCAAGTAGTATTCAGTCGCCTTTGCAGCTGGTTGTCTCAAAGCCTGAGTGCCGAACGCGACCGTGGACTCATCTGCCTGCTGTCATTCATGTGCCGCCAAGTTCCCTGAGTCTAATTCCTCGAATAACCTGAGGGCGGATATTTTCGCAGCTGCATGCGAATAAGATAATTTGCCTGCCCTTACTCCAGGACAGAATATGACAATTCTGTCTTTTCTTAGATCTCCTTTCAAGCCCAGCCAGAGGACTAAACAGCGCCTGCTGACAAGAGAAAGGGGCTCGCAACGTACTATTTGAACGAAAAGTTGGGCGTTCTAGAACTGAGCTACCGGCTGAAACCCCATCAGCAGTGTTCTGGAACATTGCATTCTTTGCCTTGTCTTGCTCTTTACCACGCCACAGTCTACCACGGTTCTGGATGGGAATTTCTAGGTAAAGCGAAGTCGCTCCTCTCTTCGGTCTAATGTCACGGACAGATAGACGAGCGCAACCATCATATCACTACAACTGTTCCTAGTTGCAACCGATAAGGCCTAAGCCCAAGGGAAGTAACTTCTAAACTGTTTTCCTCACTCCGATGATACACTGTAATCACAAAGTTAATCCTTCGGAGTGTGACCTTCCCATCCGTTACGTCGTCTATCAGCTGTTAACGAAATACCAAGTCACTAACTGGGAAACAAGCTGAAATCTCTTGAGATCCGTTACACTTTAAAGTTTTGGCCAGCAAAAATTATCGGAATTTCGACGGATCACTGAATAACAGCGAGTGCTGGTTCTCAGTGAGTTGTGCATCGTTGGAGAGTTCGGCGTGGATATCACTCACCGTCCGACAGCGACCATGCGCAACAACATCATGCGAGTGAAGGACCGACTAGACGTAGAACAATCGGGTGCCGTTTATCAGATTCCATGTCGGTACTGCCCTCACCATTACACAGGACAGACCAAACGACGGCTAGGCTCGCGAATAACGGAGCGTAAACGGGCAGTCCGGAGAGACGACCCGTTGTCTCAGGTTGCCACTCACACCGTGGAGGAAGGTCACGAATTCAAATTCGTGAGCACGCGGATAGTGGCGAGGGCTGGCAATAAGACAGGGCGAGAACTTCTGGAGGCCTGAGTGTCTGACAGCAACTCCATCAACAGGCACGTTGATATACCCCCCTGCTACCACGCGCTCCGTTCCCGCGGTCAAGAGGTCAGACCCAATTCCCAACCAAGGGTGCACGCAGTCACGCCGCTGTGAGACGGCGTGGACTCAGGCTTATCGCGAACACCCCCCTGGCACTCCTACCCCCTTCTTTGTTTGACTGCAAAAACTGCTCATGTGGTGTCGCATTCTCGCAGTCGCTGACGGTGGCCTCCTCCACGAGACCGAAAGTTCAGACTGATGCACGTATTGTCCCAGAGGTCGCGTGTTCATTTTCTCTAAAATCTTTTCATCTGCCCATTTTTAGAAGGGCGTGTGATCTTTACATTTCATAACTGAAGAAGGAATATTCGTTTGCTTTTAAAGTTTCTAATAATGAGATTTTTACGATCATGGAATATCAATCATACAAATCCATATCTGGGCGTATATTAATGCTGTTGCAACATAGTCCGAATCCATTGCAAAGTTTTGTTAATTCTGCAGGGTTTCTTTCTTAAGGTGCTGAAGGGCATATGTGTTGTAACATTAAAAATCATGTAGAATCATTTCATAATATTTCATCCACCGAAGGATGTTAACTTCCTGGTAGACAAGAAAAAGGTAGCCGGAAAATCATTTTGTCCATTGATTAATCGTACAGTAGGTAACTCTCTCGTGAAATGTTGGCTGCTACAGTGTGTTTTCGACGAGAGAGGATTACCTACATGGGGTTATATTACTGTTGATAGCATAGCATGATCTCAAGCTATTTCAGTCACGTTAAACGACCTGCTTTTGGATGTGCTTTCTTTCAGCCGCCCGCGAAGACCACATTCAATATGAATTGTACCCCTTGATTTTCGATGCCCTCATAAATTCAGATATATTTTTTAGGGATAGAGCCAAAAATATCCATCTTTCACTCCTTTGGTAGCAATTTACGTCGTCTTCAAATTTTTGCTGAAAACGTTCGTAATTGTGTGATTTCTACGAGCGTAAAACGTCCATTAGCACACCATCATACAATTCTGTTTAATAATGTTGTTTCGGAAATATGCCACATGCTCCAAATCCATTACGAAATTCTAGAGCACTATAAGCCGTCATTTAAAGAGTTTGGATAAATTCACGATTTTATTTAGAAAAGTAAATAACCCTAAGCACAAGTGTAACTGCTGAATCGCGTTCAAAATTAATCGGGAATTTAAAAGAAATTTATGTACTATAGATATAATTTCAGCGAGTATAAAATTTGAAGAAGACGTAATTCGCAGCCCGGCAAGTACACAAAAAATACTCCCGTGCATGTTTTCCATGAAATATACAGTAGATGTGCTGACTCATGAAATTTCAACCAAAATTTCGAAATGCGTTCTCGTTTCGAAAAGATAAATTAAGTAGTGTTGCAAAACTAATCATGATGCAGCATAAATCTATAATGATCCAGTTACCGCAGGGTGCCGGCTTTCGAAAAAAACATTTTCGGCTGCATGCAAGGTCTATACTCTGCAAAAATGACTACTGGAGTAGCATGCAGTTTTCTGATTGATTTTCGGTGCCCTTGAAAATTCAATTATATTTCATGCAAAACATGCATGAAAATATTCATTCTTTTACTTATTCGGTAGAAGATCACGTCTTCTTCCAATTGCATACTCAAAAAAGAGTATAATTCGGTTTTTAAAAACTTTTCTTATTCTCGAATAATTTTGAACACGAACTGCTGTTACATTGCATTCAGGGTTTCAAAACCAGAAGCTGTATATTTTCCGTGTACGGAAAACCATACATTTCTCTACGGTGCTAAGAGGAGACCATATGAGGTTCATAAAATTAAGCCGTGGATTTGAGCAATATTGTCAACTTTACAAGCCACATTCGTAAATTCAGATACATGATGTTTCATGAACGGCCATGTAACGGTATTAAAAAATCTCACAATTAGAAACTTTCATAAAACCGAATTATACTCTTCTTTTCAGTATGCAATTGGAAGAAGACGTGATCTTCTACCGAATAAGTAAAAGAATGAATATTTTCATGCATGTTTTCCATGAAATATAATTGAATTTTCAAGGGCATCGAAAATCAATCAGAAAATTGCATGCTACTTAAGCAGTCATTTTTTGCAGAGTATAGACCTTGCATGCAGCCGAAAATAAGTTTTTTTCGAAAGCCGGCACCCAGCGGTAACTGGATCATTATAGATTTATGCTGCATCATAATTAGTTTTACAACACCACTTAATTTATCTTTTCGAAAAGAGAACGCATTTCGAAATTTTGGTTGACATTTCATGAGTTAGCACATCTACTGTACTTCAGTTTATAAGGGCACCGAAAACATCTGAAACATACAAAGCGCAGGTAACAGACAATCTAAGGTTATTGAGATCAAAAAGGTCGTGCTGGGTAGGACGGCATACGGCAGGCAAGGTTAGACCTAATTCTATTCTTTAACCTGACCCTGAACCTCACCTTTATCCTAAAGTTAATCATTTTCTTGAACCTGTCCAGAAATATAACCCTAATATAATCTGCCCACAAAATTCAACCGGCTAGCATGTTATATATACAGATTGCACGATATACTATACTTCACGACACAGATATTATTTAAAAGCCTAGGCACGAGTTTTCTCGACATTCTGCCGCTGCATTACACAGTCATTAATCGCCAACTTTCTGTATTAATAAGACATGAGCCTGCATATTCAATCATTGCGAAGACAGTTTTGCTAAAAATGATTAGCATGTCCTCCTTGGACAGATATTCCATGACACAGATAATTGGTTCGGGTTCTTGAATTTCGAGACTCGAATTAGCTGCTGAAGTCAAATAAACTTTAATCACTCGCAATAAGTTAGTCCCGTCTATTGTAGAAGGCAGAGTCATTAATAGTGATGGCTAAGCTTCTTTGAATTGTAAGTGGATTAGGCGTTTATTTGAAACCTTCTCTTCAATCGTTTTCATACCCATCAAAATTTGTACTTGACCTCCAGCATGTCATGCTGGAAAAGAGTTCAATTGTCCCAAGTTTCCTTATTGTAACTTTCTTGCAGCTGTTGAAATCCAAGCCGTTGTAGACCGTTGTCTGCGCAGACCCGTTGGGTCGTTTCACGAATCGATTGTTCACAGCGAGAATAAGGAATCAATTTCCAAGGAAGAAGCAGTTCTCAATATAAAATTAATTTGCTCGACTTTTGAACTCATTTCCAAACCCAGGATAGGGGAGGAGAACAAACTAAAACAAAAATTTTCAAAAAACTTGGAGTTTATAGGATGTTGTTTCTATGCTGGCCTACGCATCTTTGCCATTGGATTACTGGGAAGCTAACTTGGAAACCGAAGGTCCCTTGCCATGGAGTTTCGAGAGTTCAGGAGCGTCCACAGACGATGATGAGGGTTGTGGACAGTGTAGCGGAATTATTGTTCAGGAGAGCCTTCTTCTTCTTCTTCTTCTTCTTCTTCTTCTTCTTCTTCTTCTTCTTCTTCTTCTTCTTCTTCTTCTTCTTCTTCTTCTTCGAAGTTGGTACTCATAATACCGCACTTTTGCAGTCTCAGAAATTTGAGGCGAAATGTCCTCTACTTATAGGATTGTTATTCACATTACTCAGCGAGTTATTGAAAGCATCCATATATTCTATGGGCTTTCAATCACTTAGAATCATCCGAAAGCTTTAACTTTGTTCACAGCGATAATAAGGATACAATCTCCAAAGAAGTTGCAGTTCTCAATATAAAATTAACTTCTTCGACTTTTGAATTTATTTCCAAACCCATGATAGGGGAGGAGAATAAACTAAAACAGAAATTTACAGAAAACTTGGAGTTTATAGGATGCTGTTTCTATGCTGGCCTACGCATCCTGGGTAGTAGGCTATTCAGTAGTCTCAAATTGCTACAGATAGCATTGTGACCAAAGTAATCAAAGTTTACCAATAGCGTTCCTACATGAACAACGCTCATGCGTCCTCTAGGATGTTAAGAACGGAAAAAAGGAAAGATCTCATGACTACGTCGCAATCTATTCACATTAATTATTCGAACATTCAACTAAGCCTGAGAGGATATTAGTTTGAACTCTCACACCCAAGACGTCGCCTGAGCAGTTAGTGTGCCGATTACAGAACAATTTCCGACCAATTATCTTTGTTTTGTTGTTGTTGGGTTTGTGAGTTATACTCTCTCCTTGGATAAGTCAACGTGCACAAGTCATTTGAAAAAAGCGAGAGGGAAATCAAGCTAGTTAGCGCGAGGTAGACACATCTCATCTTCCGCCATTCACAGGTCTTCATAATTGGTGCTTCACGACTCTTCTGGTTAAGCCTAGTAATAAATTACATTACCTGACACAAAATTAGGCTAACTGATTTATGCAGATCTTTGGGTACCTTTGTGGAGGCCTATTGCAGAAACTGAATTTGCGATCGTCTCTTAGAGACGGCAAGCAGACCATGGTGAGAAAATGAGCACTGATTACCTACCCGCACACAACCAGTAGCACTCTTTGTTACGATTCCGAAACCATCAGATGTACCAATAGAGGGGTAACAAATAAGTCGAGAGTTATTTGTGTTCCAAGTACGGTTCTTCGATAACAAAACAGCGTGACAGACCAACTTTTATCACTTAGTCACTTTGCGGGCAGCTTAGTTTGCTAATTTCTGCTGTCCGCTCAGCTGGTACTAGATTCCCTCATTGAGCATGTGGCAAAACCTGGTATGTCCAGTAAATGGCAAGACATTTGTCCGAGCAAATTGAGCTGAAGTTGGTTGGGAAATTTTCCAGGCGCATATGTGTGTGAACGGAGGATACTTTCGGCCGACATTTGAATGAGAACTATAAATCCGGCACCCAAGTAAAGTGAAGTAAGTACAGAGAACCCGAGTAACAGAGCCTGGGGATGAGATTCACTGTCCAGATTGAACAGTGTGACAAAAAGTTGACATGCTCCGTAATTTCCATGATTAGAACCCCGGAATTTCAGATCAGACGAATGAACTGAAGCAGCTTAACGGGATTTCTGACTCGAGATACTAGAAAGCGGATGGGAATAGGCTGTGACTTTAGAATTTTTTCAACACAACCTGTAGGAGAGTCTAAGATTCAACTGAAGTAACGATTGGTACGAAAGCACTTGGATGATTTTATTGAGTTTGTAATCCATTTCGCATCCCCGTTTTGATATGAAGAGTTCACTCATCTTGCGCACCTTGGGGATTCTCCAGTTACCGGGACTCCTACACCGGTCTCCGATTGCTACAGATAACATTGTGATCAAAGAAATTAGAGTTTACCAATAGCGTCCCTACACGAACAACGTTCATTCGTCCTCTAGGCTTCTGAGAACTAATAAGTAGAACGATCTCATGACTACGTCTCGATATATCCACATTCTATATTCTTACGTTCAACAAGGCCTGAGAGAATAGTAAGCGAACTCTCCCACATCCAAGACATCGCCGGAGCAATCAGTGTGCCGATTACAGGACACTTCCGATCACTTATCTTTGTTATGTTGGGTTTGTGAATTATACCCTCTGCCTGGATTAGTCAGCGTGCATAAGTCATTTGAAAAAGCGAGAGGGAAATCAAATTGGCTAGCGCGGGCTAGACACATCTCCTCTTCCGACACTGACAGGTCTTCATAGTTGGTGTTTAACGACTCTTCTGGTTGTGCCTAGTGATAAATTACATTACCTGACACAAAGCTAGGTCAGCTGATTTGTGTAGATCTTTGGGCACCTTTGAGGGAGTCTACTGCAGAAATTGAATTTGTAATTTTTTCCGGGAGATGGCAAGCAGACCATGGCGATAAAATGAGCACTGATTACCTACCCACACTCAACCAGCGGAACTCTTCGTAACGATTCAAAAACAATTAATAGAGGAGCATAAATGGTTAATTTATTAAAGAAATGAGAGTCATTTGTGTACTTTGACGGTTCTCAGACGACAACACAACGTGACAGTCCCTTTGCCCCCAACGTAATTTGTTAATTTCTGCTGTCCGCTCAACTGGTACTAGATTCCCTCACCTAGCACGTAACAAAGCATGTACTGTTGTAAAATCAATCACCTTGCATAATAATTTCCTAGCAATTCAGTTTCTTCAAGATGCCGCCATTTAAATGAACTTCTTTTCAGCCGTCTACAAAAAACGCGCTCTGTAAAAAATAATTGCTCATTTAATGTGATCTTTTTAATTGATTTTCGATGTACTTACAGATTTCAATATGTTCATCAAAAAACATGCATAGAATATTCATTCTTCTACTCATTTGGTGGAAAACTACGTCTTCTTTAAGTAATCTACTTGATGGAAGAGTATAATTCAGTTTTAGAAAATCGTTCTAAGCCCCGAATAAATTTGAACCCGACCTGAAATTACATTTGCATTCAGGGTTTTGAAACAACATTTTCCGTGTACGGAGAATCATACATTTCATTTTAAAACCGAATTACACCCTTCCTTCAAGTATACTATCTGAAGAAGACGTAATTTCCTACGTTAGAAGAAGAATGAATATTTTTATGCATGTTTCCTATGAAATATATTGAAATTTATAAGACCATCAAAATCAATGTGGAAACTTCACGCTAAATAAGTTGTCATCTTTCGCAGTGTATTTTTCGCAGACGGCTAGAGCAAAGTTCATTTAAAAGTCGACATCTTAAAGTAACAGATTTATCATGAAATCATGCCACACGGTGATTAATGTTACAACATTACGCAAGCAATCTTTTTGAGTCGAAAACCCATTTCAGAATTTCGGTTAGCATTTCATGAGTCAGCACACCTACTATACATGTTGTTTGTTTTCCTTAAGAAAATAATGCATTTTTTCAAGATCTCAAGGGACAGCATATAATGCATCTCAAATTTTTCATTGAATTCGGACCATAAGTAATAAAGAGAAGTTTACAATGATGTGTGAATGACCGTTTTTCGGTCGTAGAAATCGTACACACTTTTCAAGTAAAAATTTTAAGGATACGTAAATTGCTACCAAATGGGTGCGAGAAGGGATATTTTTGTGGGCTTTCTCCTAAAAAATATATTTGAATTTATGAGAGTACAGAAAATCAATGGGAGAGTTTGTACAATATGTAGCAGCCCATTTGTCGTGTCAGTACTGTGAGTATAAAAAAACGTTCGTTAACGCCTTTATAAAAGCACTGCAGCAATTCAGGTTGAACGACGAGCATCTTATTGATTTATAATTTGATTCGTACTAATACCTGCCTATTCGAATCTTGAACGAGTTATTAAACCATGGAAAACAGTTGTCCTGCCGGATGAAAATCACTTTCAATTGTATCAATATTTAGCATAGCTGGCTTACCTCAGGACATGTGAGCCGTATTTCTGAAATGTGTTTTGGATTAAGTTGGATTGCCTAGGTAGGACTGTAGTATTGATTATCGTGCAACAAAACCCCAAAATATTTCAGTCACGCCAGGACATCAGCTTTTAAATGTTTCTCTCCGATCACCTACGAAAACTACACCCGTTAAAAACGTCTACTTTTGTAGCATGACGTTTTCACACTAATTTTCGATGCCCTTCTAAACTGAAGTATATTTCATGGAAAGAATGCACGGGAGTATTTTTCGTGTACTTGTCTGGCAGGAAATTACGTCTTCTTCAAACTTTATACTCGCAAAAATTGTATCTGTAAGACATAAATTTCTTTTTAAATTCCCGAATAATTATGAACGCGATCCAGCAGTTGCACTTATGCTTAGGGTTTCCGAATGACGTGTTCTTTACTTCCCTAAATAAAATCATGCATTTATCCAGCCTCATAAAATGACCGCTTATAGTGCCCTAAAATTTTGTAATGGATTTGGAGCATGTGGCATATTTCAGAAGCAGCATTAATAAACAGTATTGTATGATAGTGTGCTAATGGACATTTTACGATCGTAGAAATCACACAATTACGAACTTTTTCAGCAAAAATTTGAAGATGACGTAAATTGCTACCAAGGCAGTGAAAGATGGATATTTTTTGGCCTTATCCCTAAAAAATATATCTGAATTTATGAGGACATCGAAAATCAAGGGGTACAATTCATATTGAATGTGTTCTTCACGGGCGGCTGAAAGAAAGCACATCCAAAAGCAGGCCTTCTGACGTGACCGAAATATCTTGAGATCATGCTATGCTAGAACCAGTATTGTAAACCCATCTAGGTAATCCTCTCTCGTCAAAAACACACTGTAGAATCGCAGCCAGCATTTCACGAGAGAGTTACCTACTGTACGATTAATCCGTGGACAAAATGGTTTTCCGGCTACCTTTTTCTTGTCTACAGGACACGTTTGTTCAGTCCGGAGGATCGCAAGCTTTCCTGGTAAATGTTGTTGTAAAGCTATTTTCCACCAAGCGAGTACGATAAAACACTTCGTGTAGGTTTTCTATGAAATATATTTGAATAATTGAGAGCATCAAGACTCAATGTCTAAAATGTCTACTACATAAGCAGTTATTTTTCAGTGAACGAGGTTTTTGTAAACGGCCGCAAAGGAATGCATTCAGATGCCAACATCTGTGGTGGTGTTCACGATAAGTCTGAGTCCACGCCGTTTCACGGCGGCGTGACTGCGTGCACCCTTGGCTGGGAATTGGGTCTGGCCTCTTGGCCGCGGGAACGGAGCGAGTGATAGCAGGGGGGTATATCAACGTGTCTGTTGATGGAGTTGGTGTCAGACACCCAGGTCTCCAGGAGTTCTCGCCCTGTCTTATTGCTGGCTCTCGCCACTATCCGCGTGCTCGCGAAGTTGAATCTGTTGCCTTCCTACAGGGTGTGAGTGGCGACCTGAGACAACGGGTCGCCTCTCCGGACTGCCCGTTTATGCTCCGTTATTCGCGAGTTAAGCCGTCGTCTGGTCTGTTTTGTGTAATGGTGAGGGCCGTACCGACATGGAATCTAATAAACGACACCCGATTGTTCTACGTCTAGTCGGTCCTTCACTCGCATGATTTTGTTGTGCATGGTCGCTGTCGGACGGTGAGCGATATCCACGCCGAGTTCTCCAGCGATGCTTTCCGTCGCTTCGGACACATTCTTCGAGCCTTCTCGGAGAAAGTTAAGATTTCGCGCCATCCATTTGGCTGATTGTAAATGGGGCTGCCTTTTAAGGTAACGATCGGCCGAAGGGGAACATTTGGCTTGTGGATTTTGGGTAATCCATAAAATCGGGTCAGTGCCGTGTGCGTTGGTTTCATCTGTCGCCATTAATCTAGCGATATCGAACTACTGGGCCTGAGTCGGTTCAAGAGTCCGGTTAGTTGACCGATCATCGCTTTGGCTCGAGAGGAAGGCGTGGATTTGTAGGACTGTTGGTCGTCGGGGAGGGCTCGTGCCTTATCGACGTGGTTCATTATGACGGTTTCTCTTCCTTTGTCGGGTGGCAGCACTATTACATCTTTGTCCATTTTTAATTCCTTCATTGCTTCTATCTCTGCGGACGACATGTTGCTGGTGGGCATGTTCGTCAGTAGTAGGAGGGTGACTTTCTGGCGCACAGTGCGTTTAGCCTCGTCGGTTGCGTTGGTTCTTACTGGCATAGCTTCAAGTGCTGAGACAAATTCGCCGCCGTATTAAAGTCGGCCTCATGACTCAGCACTCTCAGTTCTTCTTCAGTTAACTGCCTGGAAGATAGATTGTGTACCACATTTTCGTTTGCTTTGTATTCGGCTTTCAAGTTTCCGGACTTCTGCTCTAGGTTCGTGCGTTGTAACTCCTGTCTCGTTTTTGACAAAATGGATATTGTCCGGTCAAGGGACCAAGAGGCGAAACCCAATTCCCAGGCAAGCGTGCACGCAGTCACGCTGCTGTGAGGCGGCGTGGACTCAGCCTTATCGCGAGCATCGCCCCCGGCACTCCTATCCCCCCTTCATCATTTGACTACAAAAACTGCTCATTTGATGTCGCATTCTCACAGTCTCTGACGACGGCCTCTCGTACGAGACCAAAAGTTCAGTCTAGTACACCCACTGTCCCAGAGATCGTGTGTTCATCATCCTTACAACAAAAACCTGGGATTCGCATATTGGCTTTTATCCGTGAAGGAAAGGATTTTTGTGCATTTTTTCCATAAAATATATTTGAGGCTATCGAAAACCAATGCGAAAAATGCACAATACTTAAGTGGGCATTTTTGCTAAGTTGAGCCTTTACAGGTAAACAAAGTGCATTCAAAAGTCAACTTCTCGGAGAATAGGAAATGCTATAGAAATATGCCACATGATAAACGATTTAACAACCTCACCTACGTAATCCTCCCTTACTGAAAAAGCAGTTCAGAATTTCGGTTGACATTGCATGAGATTGCCACTCACTGTGTCTGTATTTATCAGTTCACTTTATCAAGTGGAAAGTATATTTAATATCCACTGAAAAATTCCGCGAGTCTTATATAGCAGCTTCTAAATGACATAGAAGAAGACACGATCTTCTCTACGTGCAAACATACGATTTGTATTTGTAAAACACAACAATAGGGGCAGTGACAGGTTGGTTTCAAAATTATTCGGGAATTAATAAGATTAAAACTGAGTGATACCCCTTCCCTGAGTAAAACAACTTGAGGAATGTGGTTTTTTGCCAAATTCTAACAAGAAAGGATGTTTTTGTTCATATTTTCTATAGAATGCATTTGAATATACTGGAGCCCCGATAATCGATAGGAAAAATTCATACAACATAACTAGCAATGTTGCTTACAATGCAGTTTTTATGAACGATGGAAAGAGGCCCATTCAAAGGTCGGCATCTTGGCGGTTCCTTTCATTCAACCTCGAGTGGGGTGTTGGTGACGTCTGCCTGTCTCATAACTATCACTAGGGTTATTAATACACGACCAATCTCTCTCTATAAGGTGAATAATCATGGCGGCAAAGCATTTGGATGCTACTTCAGTTACTGTTTCTGGTAAGTCTTCTGAACAATCGCGTTTGTTCTCTAGTGGTTACGGTCACGCCGAATCATTCACACAAGCCTGGAATGTTCTGAAATGTTCTTCTTTGCGTTCTGCTTTGTACAGTTTCTCTTCTCAGGAAACTTCCGATTAAAATGTGTTACTGTGCCCCATAAAATGTTAGTGCACGGTCAAATGTACCGTCTCATATTACAAGTGACCTTGCGTGAATTCCAGGAGATCAGGCTTCGGGTTAGGGCTACAAGGGGTAGTGTTGAGGTAGGTGTTAGGGTTCCCTTAGGGGGAACTTAGCGCATAATGGGATTATACTGCATGATTTTTAATCCTAAAACCAAATGTAAGTAATCTGTCGTAATTGAAACCTTTACCTCAGAATTTCGGCTAACATTTCTTGAGTTCTGCCGCTGACTATGGTTAAAATCTAAAAGAACCTGTCTCAGTATCAGCGTCTCGTGTGGATTGTCTGGTAGCAAACTGTCGACCAGCAGCCAGTAAGTGGGTTCACAAGAAAGCTTCCTATGTGTCAATTCTGTTTCGAAATCAGAGTAAAGGGCCAACTTGCTGAGGACACACACCAGAATTGAATCCAAAAAATATGTGATTCAAATGGGAACGAGAGAAGCGAATTATATTTTCAATAATCAGGCTGGTTGCAAAAAAGATTTCGTTTAACAGTGAGGGCAAAATACTGCCGCTTTTATAAATTAAATAGATTAGACGCAAAACGCTATGTCTAAACTGATCGAATCATCTTTGTATTTTATATTCGAAGAAAGGGCGTATTTAGGTTTTGATAAAGCTTTTTTAAGTTTCGAATTATTTTAATCCAGGTCAGCTAATGCACCTTCGTTCAGCGACTTTAGTCTGCAGAGCGTACACTGTTCGTGTGCGAAAAAACATATACCCCTTTGCGAGGGTACTTGTTCCCGTGTAAAACCCCTAAAAATAACAAGCTTGTTCAGTGGAATATAGGGAAGTTTAGGAGACATAAAGTCTTAGGTTGCTTTGATACATTTCAGATAAAAATCATCTGCGGACCTCAGTTGTGATAGAAACTGCGAGGAGGGTACTTGGCGATCCACTATCTAACCAACCCCGAAAATGCCTCACAAAATTGACCATCAAATGCAAACAGAGCTAGAAGGCTCATGAACGTATTTCCTTAAAAACGTCTTCTTTCTAAGTAGGTAGAGTTAGAAATGCACAAATCACTGAGAACCAGTACTCGCTGTTATTCAATAATTCGTCGAAATTCCGATAATTTTTGCAGGCAAAAACTGGAAAGTGTCCTATCGGATCTCAAGATATTTTAGTTTGCCTAGGAGCTTGCGCCCAGTTAGTGACTGAGTATTTCGTTAACAGCTGATGGAAGACGAAACGGATGGGAAAGTCACTCTCCGAAGGATTCACTTTGGGATTACACATACAAGTTGATCCATTGAAAAGTTACTCTCAGCTGATGCATACCTAAACACCAAAATAGAGATAGGGGCTGAGTTAAAATCTCTATGATGAAAAAATCCAGAGAAAGTTAAACTACTGTATTTTAGGAAATCAAATGCCCCCGCATGACAGATGCTGGTAGAAAGTATCCATCTTAATGAGAGAAATGATGCAATTTCCGACCTATATAACTGCAACATACGTCTCTTTTGACGTACTTAGTGACACCGTTCGCGACAGTGCTGGCTCTTTTATCAGCGTCAGGTTTCCAAGATGCAATCTTTTGCGCCCAGAATCTGGGAGCATCTTAGACTTGTACGGCAATCAGAGGTTCACTTCATCAATCCCTTCAACTAATTTTCCCCATCCTACTACTCACGTTAGCCTTAACGTCTCTGTGTTGGACGAAAAAGACAGCATTTGAGAAGATTTTATCCAGTCTGCATTGTTAGAGTGCGGCCAATCGGGCGATTTTCAGTCCATAATTTATGCTTTGATCACATCTTTGCTCGTCGACTCAGTCTCACGGCAGTCTCACCTTGACAGGAGGCAAATGTCTCACCAATCCTGCGTAAATATTTAAATTCTTTCGTCGTGGCTTGCATGCGAAAACGATTAAGCATGAAGACACACTTAGCACGCCGACAGCTCTGTCATGTATTTCGGAAGCTGTCAATTTTATTCCTGATCTTGGGCTATAGTACAAATGTCTGAGCCTCCAATTTCATTACAATATTAGACAGGACTGTATTCAAAAGGGTATCTTGGAATCTCAAAGGCATCCAGCCGTTGTTAGGATACATGCTTACTGGTCTCGGGTATGCTAATGCTGTCGAGCGATGCAGACAAATTTGCTAAGTCCGTCAGAGTGAGAATACACGTGCATTTTCCCAGGTTGGGTTGCTCTCTTTCTCACCGACGTTCACATTGTGATAGTCAGATCTCCCCAGTGTATCTTCCGAGTGAGGAAAACAGTTTAGAAGTTACTTCCCATGAGCTTAGGCCTTATCGGTTGCGACTAGGAACAGTTGTAGTGACATGATGGTTGCGCTCGTTTATCTGTCCGTGCCATTAGACCGAAGAGAGGAGCGACTTCGCTTTACCTAGAAATTCCCATCCAGAACCGTGGTAGACTGTGGCGTGGTAAAGAGCAAGACAAGGCAAAGAATGCAATGTTCCAGAACACTGCTGAAAGGATTCCAGCCGGCAGCTCAGTTCTAGAATGCCCAAATTTTCGTTCAAACAGTGCGCTGCGAGCCCCTACCTCTTGTTAGCAAGTACTAGTTAGTCGTTTGGCTGGGCTATAAAGGAGATCTAAGGAAAAACCGAATTGTCATAATCCGTCCTGGAGTAAGGGCAGGTAAATTATCTTATTCACATGCAACTGCGAAAATATCCGCCCTCAGGTTATTCGAGGAATTAGACTCGGGGAATTTGGCGGCACATGAATGACAGCAGGCAGATGAGTCCACGGTCGCGTTCGGCACTCAGGCTTTGAGACAACCAGCTGCAAAGGCGACTGAATACTACTTGACGAGGTTTTAGCAGAAAAGTGAGTACGAAACTGGAGGACAACTGCTTGGAAACTCACAGATTTGAACCATGTAGGAGACACACACACACACACACACACTAGAAGGACCTTTGTATGAGGCAAGTAGGCAAAAAACCTGATATCAGCAGCTCGTAGGAGAGTATGGGAGCTGACTCACCAAACAAAGCAGCTGAAGTCTAAGTGAGAATTCATGCATGCCATCTGGGCATGAATTTGAAGGTGACTATTTTTTGCTGTCATTCTTTATTCCAGTGAGTTTAACAATCGAATTTTGGGTTCAGACAGGAACAGTGCTTATTTTGGACACTAATACGGAGGTCTATATCTATGAGGCTTCCGCCTGCAGGATAAGTTCCTACGATGCCGATTTATGACTCACAACACATGTGAGTAACTGTTTACTACGATGAGCACTTTCGTTCTGTTAATGTTTACGTCAAATTAGACCACCGATGGTGAGACCGCCTTGCCACCTCCTCAGGAACAATGCAAGGAGGATAAGGAGAGAAATTAGCGTTAAAACAATTTGTTGGCTGGCATGGGACTGCAGAAGATGTAGACCGGAGAGCACTAATTTTTGACCTAATTATCAGCCGAGGTGTTAATTACCGTGCTGAGGTATTGCCCTCGTGTCAAATAATATATGTATATATATACGCTGGTTTTCCTAATCGCAGATAGTATTCTTCGTCTGAACATGTGGTCCATCCTACTCATTTGTTTCTACGGGTGTTTGGCAGTGGAGGGTAAGTATTGATTTAAGTAGTTTGTCCATACCATTGTTATATTTCTCTCTCACTTCATAACGAGGACTTGTTGCCCTACTAAGCAAGCTATGAGAGAAAAGTGGTCACTAAGGCTGTTGCAAAACAATGCGGGCTTTCGGGGATTCTAGGAAAATGCATAATATCTAAGTGGAGTAAATACATACATATAGTTCCGATATTTGAACGCTATCCCTGTGTGGCCCGCAAACTCCGACTGTAGTTAGAAAATTCATTATGACAGAACACGTATATTGAGAAAAAAAAACAAACAACGGAATTCGCTACCAGACGGATGTAGACGACCGAACCAAAAATCACTTCTGATCTACCCTTTTTGAGCCCTGATTACTGGGCGTAATGATGACGCCCAAGGCCTTTGGCAATTTCGTTATTTCCAGCTACGCTTGGCAAACTTTAGTATGAAACCAGTGTTCGCAATTTCATTTATTAGGAAATAATAATTTGTTTCAGTAGGTACAAATGTTGTTTTTTTTGAAGTAAAATAGCATATGTGACACTTGGAGCCCTGTTATTGATCTTGATCCAAAGCTAGGACATTCAGAAATCCACTGAATGCAAGCTAAGATACCCGTTTACTGGAATATTATTGGAAAGTCCGCTAAAACTGTCAAGAGGGTTTCCTTGGTTTAATTTCCATAAAACAGTAAGACTTCCTAACAGCTAGTTGCATTTGCTAACATTGACTTGCACTAATACGCTCTTTCTGAGTGATTAATTTAGAAGTAGTGAATTGCATATGTGAGTTAAAATCAGCGTATTGCATTAGGCGCCTCCTGGGTTCGGGATATGACTGAATGATGACGGCAAATTATTGAGATATAAACAATTATGCATGTTGGCTACACTTATAAGTAACGTCTCCCTTAGTAATAATAAGACAGGGAGTGCGTATTGGATATTGCATTAAGATAGCAGAAAGATTATAGGCTTTTCATGATCACCTCCTGAAGACCAAAGGATTTTCAGGCTGCTTTGCATTTGTAAATTCTATCTAAGTATAAACTTGGACATAATGGGAAGGCTGCACATTTTAACAGTATCATATGGGAGAAGCAAAATAAATTCGTAACATTGACCTGACAGATGTTCAACCGATTACCTTGTATTTGGCCCTGTAATTTCTATAAATATAGGCTGCTTTGCCATTTGTAAATTCCATCTAAGAATAAACTCAGGCATAATAGGGAATAGGTGGGATCGAACGAAAGCTGCGTATTTAAAAACGTCATATAGGAGAAGCAAGGAAATAAACTGACCGCCGAAATGCATTCATAACATTGGCCTAGTAGATGTTAAGTCAATAACATTATGTATATCCCTGTAAGTTCTATAAATACAAATGCTATTGTATAAAGGACAGTTGCTGCTTTTGCAGACAATCCTTAACAAACGCAGAAGCCAAACCAACTGTCTACTAGAGTCTGATTGATTCTGTACGAGCAAAAGCATTTACGTGATAAAGTCCTGTCTTAGTAGATTTAAATATTTTACAGGTTGACACGCGTTTACGGCACAACCCCAACCAGGAACTCCTATACCAATTACAACATGTAGAATTCGGCCTGTGAAAACACGAAATCGATATGTTGATTAATAGTTGAAATCTACTATTTTCTCAGCCTCGACGAAGATTGAGGCCACTCTCCCCAAAATGGCACTTTGACCCATACGATAAGCCTACCATTCATGCACGCAGTACGCAAAGGCTTTTGGTATGTAATAAGCACCATGAAGTGGCAAGAGTTTTGTTGAAAGCAGGCTTATAAAAATTCCAGTTAAACACCAAGCGCTTCAAAGGCTAGCGCAGTCATAGTTCCTGACATTGATATTGACATTGACAAATTTCGTTTCTTTTCACTTCGTGCGCGATCAAAATCTTCCATTTGCCTTTTGCCTTAAGCCAAGAAACACAAGAATTTTGTTCTCTATGAGTGGGACACCGGTCTTATCACTGCAAACTCGGGATGCGTAACTCATCGGACAATGCTTCCTGAAGAATTCTACGTAAGGCAGAATTAAGTGGTCCTTGATTTATCTTATATATATATATATATATATATATATATATGCTATTGTGACTTGGCCGACCTCGGCCTGGTAATTGGTTGCCTGTTCGTGACCTTTGCCACCCATACGGAGCTTTTTTTGCTTCTTGAAGCCAATAGATTGGTGTGCGCCCTTTCCTGATTGAATATATATATATATATATATATATATATGTATATTTATTTTAAGTCAGCATTGGTCTTTACTTATCAAGTTTTTTTCGTCATAAGGCGTATTACTACTATTGTAAATCTAATTAAACACCTGCAAAAATGCTTAAGAATATTTTTCCACACGGTGTTTTTTGATTAAATCTTATCCAATATATCTGAAAAAAATTAAACAACCTCCAGTCTGTCCAATTTCCCTGAGAACTTTAGAGAAGTCTGCAAATAAATGAGAGACATTTGACGACTTTATCGGGGTTAAGATCTGGTCAAAACTTCGAATTGAAGACACAAGCTGTGATGGTTAAACTCCGTTCCACCTATTCAACCGACGGAATGCGTACATAGTACGCTCTGGCATGGTAATGGGCAGCTTCTGAAATCAGAGCGAACAGCATTTCGGGAGTTAGAAGTTTCAAGATAAGTACCACTACTCTGCTGGCAGAGAGGTTATGCTTTACATTTGAGATCCGTAGTTTTTGTCATCGTCGGAGAACTTTGTAAACTTCATTCGCAAGGCAGGGTTTTCTGCTTTCACACAAAGTTCATGCATATGGACTGGTTCCGTTCCAGGCCACCTACACAGCCGCTATCCCACAGCGATCAAAGCTGACATTACAAGATTGGACAGTATGACTAGTCCCTCGATGTCCCTACATTATTTTATGTTGAGGAGTAGCGGTCAGTGGGATTTAAACAGAGCGGTGCTCATGGTAGATGGATCAAAATATGCTTAGCAGTCGGCCCAATGACTCCTGCAGTGAACCACTTGGATGCCAGGAGGTCGTGATTATTTGAAATTAATCTGAGGTAACTGCTTAGTCTCTGACTAGAGTTAAAATGAAACAAACTCTCGAGATCGCGTACGTATCGCTGAGGCAAAATAGTCTATTCAAAATTGCAGGAAGTTGTTGCCTCTTCAGGCATATGTGGAGTTAACCCCCAATGGAGCTCGTTAGCAGAAAATGGGTACCACAAGGTGCCTGGCAATGCTCAAGAAATATTGAAGGTATAGGTACTTGGAATGTCCTTTGTGATATTCATAATTTCGACACTAGCTGTGGATTCACCGCCTGAGTTTGGACTAATTTATGTCTGATAGCCATCGGCATTGTCTATTCATTTATTCTGACAGTTTCAGCGTACGAAAATTAGATTATAGTCCTCCCGAAATCTCGTCCAGCTCTTTTATGAGAAACGAACTCAAAACCATCCGAATGACAGATCAAACTCCCTAGGCACACAGTACCATGAAACTCCCAGTCTTCGTCGGTAAAAAACCACCAGTTTTGTCTTTTTTTCATGTTGCAAACCACATGAGTTGGTAGCCGTGCTGACGTGTACTGACTTGATAAAGATTTCGATGGATCGTATCATTTTTCGACTTGATCCGTAGTGGGCAGAGTACAGCCAACAGCATAAATGTGGATTCCCATGCGTCCCAATCAGATGACATACACTCACAACGCCAAAGAAGATGCGCAGAGATGTTTACACAACTTATAGTCTCCTTCGCAAAAACATGTTTTTGAATTTTATTGTCTCGCTCTCTCTCTCCTTTCTTTCATAGTCCCTGCGCGTGGGCTCCCGTGACTACAGCTACCGAAACGGGAAGTGTATTGCGGATGTGGACCCCTCGGACACCTTGAACTGCTCTATCACGGAAGGTTAGTCGTGCTATTCTTATAAAAAGCCAGTAATTCGTGCGTGGCATGGGTGAGCGGGCTGCTTAGTCTTGTCATTTGGCAGTTCGACCGTCGGTTTCGACTATGTTCACCGTGTGCTCCACAGAAAATTTAATCAGTGGCAGTGACTTGTGCGTGAGTTTGATTATAGTGATAGTAGACTGGCACAGCATCTATCGCACTCTCTTCTCCCCATTCCCAAACTGGACCCGGTGTCAAGACTAAGTCAAGCAGACCGGAGTTTGGGGGAGCGCGCAGGTGGTTGGCACAGCCGGAGTCGCTCTTAAGCATGCCAACGCATCCCCTGGTCCACACAGCAAATGACCAGGATTTTACCCCAACAACAACAGCAGCATCCCAACAGAGATCAGAGCGACGAGGATCACTGGCCAGTCATGCTCACCCACTCCATTTTCTGGTTGTACTGATGCTGTCTTGCTGTCGAAGTCTGATGGATGAGGGGAAAGCGAGTGTGGTGGATGCTGCGCAAGCCTGCTCATGAGCAACAGCGAAATGCATATTGTTCTAGAATGTCACTTTCGTATGCGTTTCCACATGGACGAAATTATCAACGCTCGATGACAATCGCAGCGGATGTGGACCACGTAGAGCACTTTGCTAGAACTACTATACCCTCGAGCATAAGAATATACTAATAATCATCAGGCATCTGGCGAATTCTCACAGTTTGGTGCTTACAAGAAAGCTGCACTGCCCCATTTTCTGAAACAAAAACATTCGGCAGATATTTGTTTTGACGAAGTCGACATTTGAGATGACTTTATCGCATGCTTTCTGAGCTATTCGAGTAATTTCGCGTGGGCCGCAAAATAGTACGAAAAAGGTAAACCACATGAGTACTAGCGTCGTTCCTTGGATGGTTTGCAATCGAAAAGCAACGCACTTGCACATATTAAATTATATGAGGTTATTTAGGAAGCCAGTTAATATTACTAAGTAGTCAGTGACTTAGATCTTTTGCTTTATGGTTATTATTATCATTTTTAAACAACACCGGAAAAATCCAGACGGAAATGTACCATGAAGCGCCATAGGGTGACTGCACTTAAAGTCATCACATATAATCTTGAGAAACAATTTTTTATGCCGAAACATTTATCTTTAGTACAAATTAATTAGACCTATTTATGAATATGGGAGAAGGAGACATCTACTGAGTAAAATTGTTTTTTAAACTACTGCACATTAAGGTAGTCCCATAATGGATTAGGCGTTGTCAATACATTATCACGCTTACGGAGCTATTGCGTCGTACCTCAATAGTACTTTCAGTTAGAAATTGTCCTCCTCACAGCCACCGTTGCTAATGCTGCCCGTACTAAACTATTATCAGTAATATAACTATCACTACCAATACCGCTACTTTTACTAAATGTTCACCGCCAGTAATGGAACTACTGCTTCTAATACGCCCATGAATATTATCAGTATCGATGATTTTAAATTCGTTTAGATTGCAACTATTCCCTTAAATTGTAACCCTCTGATTACATTAACGCCTGAACTTCTCAGTTTATTCCTACTGCGAATACTAATCATGCAAGGGAAAGCGAAATGTAATTTTGCGATGGTTACGCTTCTTGTGCAAGAACATACAAACGGTGCTGCTTAGAGTGATCCAGATTTTCAACAAGTCGATTGGCTATATCAGTGCCGCAAGCTTCCCTAAGAAATGCATAATTATAAGCGCATATGGCTTGCGGAACAATGTTGCTTTATGCCTTCTCTCTCCTTCCCAGTTGCGCATAAGCAGATGTACCTGACGGAAGTGACAATATGCAACCCACAGGAGCGCATTTGGCTCGGATTCAAACTGCCCAAATTCTTCGCAAAGGGTCGATACGGATATGTGACTAACTTCTTCTACCCTGACGGAGAGTGGACCAAGGCTGATAAATGTAGGCCTTAATCTATGCTATTAAAGAAACGCGTCTAATAAGGGCACATCCGTATTCATTGATAGTACAGTATTTGTTAAAGGACACAGAAGCTAATTCAGAGAGTTGACGTCATAAGATGGGTTTTTGTCCCATACTCGAGTATATCGGATGTGTTGCATGTATCACTGGATCTGATGCACGAAGACTGGGGCATCTACCCTCGATACGCTGGTAACCTTCATCGGCATGGTCTCATGGACTCGTTGGCGTCTCCCGCAGAAATTATCTCCAAACAGGCTGTGTGCACACGACCGGCATGTCAAACAATGCCCTGAGAGGACCAATCACCGGCGTCGATAGGTCACATTCATATGGGTAGAAGGACTTTAAATGAAATATGACAGGCCGAAATAGGGTGCGACTGCTATTCTAGCGCATGCCTGTCACTTACCGATAGAGTGAGTGAGCTCGTATTTTGGGATTACCAAAATGATACTCCAATTAGCATGGCAGATGGCCATGATGGGTCGGAATTCCTTCTCTGGAGCAGGAGCGTCGGTATTGTCAACGCAGGAGGGTTAACTGTCGCCGATTACAGATGTGGACAATCTGTGGAATCATGAACCTTTGCACTAACTACAGTCGTTGCTGAGGTTATTCGAATGCTTTTTGCTGTTTTCAGTGGACAGCGGTGTTAAGTAATTTGAATAAACAACGAACAAGTAAGAACTACCAGAAACGACAGACAGACAGGCCTTGTTTCAGCTGTCTCCTTCTTCGGTAGAGATGAATTCGGGGTTGCCGCACTGGAAATTAATTATGATAACACATGGGATTGATAGCTTTTTTAACTATGGTGAAAGCGTTTTCAGTGGTCAGAATGTGTTTGTCCCGTTGAGAAATGGGTCTCAATTCAGAACCCTAGCAGATAGTCGCACAGCGACCGGTAATGCATGCTAAATTGCTTTCTCCGCCTTTAGATCGCAAAAATTTTGACTGTATAGTGTATGCCGCAGGGTCCAACTCGATATTGTCCTTTTTCCGTTGGCACTACTGCCGGCTTGACAGTGTCCAGGATCCACGGCAGAAGTCGTAAATGTGGGTACGAGGAAGGATGGTAGAGGTGAGATTTCTGAGTCCACGGGGTGGAGCCCCGTAGTGCCCCGAATGTGGTGCTGCTGCATCGTTTGTGACTGGTTACCTGTCAGACCTGAGAGACCTGGTAACCATCTGTGGACTCACCAGTTGGCCAGCGGTGGCCATCGAACCATATACGGAACTTAGCTCTTTAACCTAATCACGTAGCTCGCCCTCTCAGGTGGGGTTCACTTATCAGTAAATAAATTACACCAACGAATACGTACTCGGTGAGAACTGGTTAGTCGGTATGACCCCGACCCCACAAACATCTATAATTCTTTCAAACTCGGGGGAGAAAAGCAGAACTTTCCCATAAGTGCTGGTTAATTTCTACGAAGTAATTAAACAGAGGTTCTTGCCGGTGGTGTGTTCGCCCCTTACAAAAATTAAACTAGTGTGAATTTTTGAAAAATTCTTTCTAGCAAAAAACTGCAACTAGTAATGACAGAGCGGAATTTGAGTGTGAGAAAAAAACACTTATTCTATACCAAATATAGATTGTCTTCAGCCAAACCTGTCTTCTCCACTGCGGATCTTTGCTAAGGGAGAAAAGCAAGTCGAAATAACATGCAGCACAAGGAAAAGTTCGTGCTCAGCGTCTCCGTGGGTATGTTTTTGTCCTTCACATCTGCCAATGCGTTTGCTGCTGTTTTTAAATTTATCTATTCAATGCCATTTCGAGCTCATCATCCGACTGCCAGCATATTATTGATACAAGGCACCTAAGGCTACTTTTGACTTTTCAGTTTTGACCTCATTTTCATGCCTAGAAAATGTACAATTTTCTGCAGGAAAGTTAGTTCGGTACTTTAGGGAGATGACTTTTTCAAGGCATTACAAATTTTATCGTCAACATACTTGTTTAGCTGAAATCGATTTTTGTTCCTTCAGATAGTAATGTTCACGCCCGATAGAGAGTTGTGTCGAAATTTCTCGGCGCCCTTCTGCGGTGAGTTTGCGAAGGTTTTTTCATCAATTAATCTCGATAACCGCATTTATTTGTGGTCAGTTTGCTGGAAGAGGCTAGGGAGATAAACTGTCAAATTGACGCTGTCTGTAATTACGTTGTTGTCGTTCTCCTCACTGAGCCAAAATTCAAGCTAACTCCCTGCGGTCTAGATCACCTGAAGGCAAATCCGCGAGGAAATTTAATGAAATGCAAAAATCCATGCACAGTGTAAATCTCTCTAGTTGACTATCTATCAAGAAAATGCTGCTCCGTTTCTGAGCCACTCGAAGAATAGGTCTTATTCGAAATGTCATTAAATGTCAAGATCTTGAGAGACCCGTTCAAGAAAGTGCGGTTTGTGAAATTCCAGTTGTTTGGTGTTACCTGGGAGAATATTTATCGATGGTTTTTCGGATGAGACTGAGAACTAACACCTCGTATTCCACCTATTGGATGGGTCTTCTTAATGCCTACCATTTAAAAAGTAGACTGAAATGTCGGATTGTTTATCGGTGAGTCTGGTAGGGCCACGTCTCTGGCAAGGTTTGCAGGTCACGCAAAGTTTTAGGATTCTGAACCATCAAAAAGCCTTTTTCGTGATGATAAGACACTACTTTTTCCGTAATTAGTGTACAGATTGTGTTGGGGAGTTGTCGTTACAGGCGACAAGGTGAGTTCCAGGAAACAGTTAAGGAGGAGACTGGATTGTCGGAAGAAGAATTTTATTTGTCTGAAGTTTCAGATTCACACTCAGACCCTTCATTAGAGACAGCAGCATGTAGAGATACTTAACGCACGAGGCTTGCAGTAATTATGGTGTTTAGTTGGTGTGCAGCCGTATGCCTACCATAATTAACAACTAGCGCATTTGTCACAAATGGTCACACATGGTGAGAGTGGAGACTTCACTTCGATACTGCCTCGGACGCGACCAAATACCCTGATGGTTGGATCGGTCTCTGGAAAAATACTTAATGCTCGACGCAATGGTCCACGAGTAAGTGAAAGTCAGGTCAATAATTTCACTGATTTCGGAGGTCAGTGGTTTGAGTAAATAGTTTTCGAACACCATACGCTGTCATCTGTGGGCCCGGTATGTGAACGAAATCGTCGTCGTCACAAAATGGGTCAGATTTCGACATTTAACGAACATCTCAACATCGTCCTTCAGGGCATGTAAATTATGACGGACTAGGAAGGTAGCAATCAGCAGCTCTTCTTCGATCTACCCTCATCTGCCGCAGAGGTGCATAGACATGTGACAAGCACAATAAAACAACAGCAACGACTTCACCAGCAAGGAAAGAGTTGTGCATAGACGCTTTGTCAGCGTCCATGAGGTGTATTGCAGTGAACAAGAAAACAAGATAACGGAACTACAAAATTCGACGGATACGCGGAGCGGACGGCTTCCAGCGCAGCTTTGTCATCTGGTGCACACCAAAATAAGACAAAACGAAAAACTGTGCCGACCTCAAATTTCGACGAACACTCCCGCCCGCTAAGAACTTCTCAGAAAACTGTTAGATGCCTCCTGTCAGCACTCGGAGTCGGGATTTCACGCAGACTGGAAGCGCCCATCAGCCGCCAAGTAATGAGGACGAAAGATCTGCTGCCATAGTGGAAAACAATCACAGTCACCTGCCGGATCCGATGGAATTGTTGGCAAAGCAAATGCGCAAAAAACTGGAGATCACTCTGGACGCAGATGAACGAACATTCGGCGGCAGAGGAGGAATGAACCCTACTCGCACGTCGCGGATCATTTAACAAGATCCGTTAAGACCTTCGAGGGAAAAGATAAAAGTTCTCGTGAGAGAAAATAATCGCGTGAGTCTCGAGCTGACTCAATCCCGGTTATCCCAATCACAGTCCATTAGCAATAACAGCGAAGTCCTACTCCATATTCGTCTCAGGAATATAAAATCCCCCTATTTGGGAGCTGAGCAAAAAACCTACTTCGGCAAAATTTTTCCCCTCTAGTCAACCAACCAACAGGTCGGCTGAGGTCTAGAGTGTTCCTCCGACGAGGAATGATGGCCGACCTGGCTGCATTTTTTGCATAGATGTTCTGATTTCATTCGTTGACATTTTGTGAGCATTTAACTCCGAAGTGGAGCTAAAACAACTGAACCACGATGTTCAACATGTCTTTTTTTTAGGAATGAATGACACAGGGGATGTGGTAGAATACACCTACACACTGCAGCGCCCTAATCTGGGCCATCAATTTGAGTACGTATTCTGTTCCACCTCCAACAGCTACCTATCTACTGTCATTGATTGGGAAAACGAACGTAAGTTTCCAACCAAAGCATTTCAGCCATGTTCTATCACTGAATACATTGTCTCGGCCTATGGGTATGAAGAACGTCCAAATGAAAGTGTGCGGTAGGGCGTTTTGCAAAGTTGCACGCTTCCTGGATTCCCGTCAGTAATTCCGTTGTACCAAAAACCTGTGATAACAACCAGAGTATCTGAGATCAATCACTCATTAAGACTGTAGACCACAGCTGATCATCAGTGGTGTATGCATGATGCTGAAATACAAACGGTCATATAAAGTGTCAGACGCTTTGCTACCCAGCATACTTCAGCGGGCGAAACAATGCAGACTAGCTCCAAGTTATACAGTAGTCATATGTAATACAGTAGCTGGTTCGCGGTTACATAGGAGCATTAGATAAGGGGGTTATGGAAAATATCACTATTTCGGTTGTGTCGGACACAGAATGCTGTCGATAAATGTTACATCTCAACAACACAGACGCGTCTACTTTGAAGCACAACTTTTTGGTAAACCAATAAGTGGTCACAGATGAAATATTTGATATCTAACTTGGATTTCTTCCGATTCCATAAAAAATGATCCTTTAGAAATAATGTGTGTGGGTGAGTATTTGGAAAAGAAGCTATGGTTCGCTACTGACAGTGGAGAGATAAGGCAGGGTATTCTACCAAAAATAGTCCACCAGAGGAATTACTTTTTAAACTTAAATTAACCACCGAGGTTTACAATCAATAACTTTGATTCGTTTGCAGTTGAATCCCAGTAAGACTGAAAACACACATTGATGGTGATTTAAGTTCACCAGCTTTAAAATATTCAACGGCATCGGAAGTCATAAAACGCAAACGTGGCACCTGTGATTGCAGTAATACCTTCACACGCAAGTCGGGAATAATTAGTATAAACAATTTCCAGTAGAGTTGCTAACACAAGATAGTAACGGTATGCATATTCCTTGCTTTCTACTAAACTCCCATCCAGGATACGAGGGTGACGATGGCACTGGTGAGAGCGAAGACGGCGAGAATGAGGAAGGCAGCGAGGGGGTTACGGATGAGGAAGAGAGCAGAACTGACGGGGATGAAGAAGGAAGCGGAGACGACGAGAACGATGAAGACGGCGAGGGCGGCGATGAGGATTTCAATACTAGTGACGCCGAAACCGACGACATTCATGAGAACACCGATGGGTATACGGACTCTAGGGAAAAGACCTCAACCCATGGTCTTGAAAATGGCGTACTCGGTACAGAAGATGACGGAGTTGACTTGGTTGATGTTTAAGGAGGGGATGAGGAATGAAGAGCAATACATTTCACTCACGACCAAGGAATACCACTGGTTTCCTATCACGCGTCTACACTGTACTTTTGGAAACAGACATTTTTCGTTTATTTTTAACATGCATGGAAAAGGTCTTGGTATGTAATAATCACGTATTTGAAATTGCCCATAAATGTGTGATTCAAAATTGTCACTTGTATTATTCAGAGAAAAGTGGGCAAAAAATCTAAAGCCAGACAAATGAAGTAACACAAGCGGTCTCCAGATCCAGCGGTCTAGATCCAGCTTTAAATTCCTACTCTCAATACAAGATGTGTCACGTAGATTCTGACTGAGTCACATTTCGGTCAGAAATAGGCGCGCAGATTCAGTTTGGTGCTTGCAAGTATTATGACCTTCATTTACAAAGAAGGCCCATAAAATGTTGCCTTTCATGACTGACGGTGACATGAGCGGAGAATGCAAAAACGGAGCACGACAAAGATTTGACTTCAAACTGAAGGCCAGTATGCGCTAGTTGTTCAGAAAA